TAGTTTTGTAAATTTTTAAATTAAATATATATTTCTACTTTATAGTTAAACATACATTAAATCATTAATATTCTTTTCTTTATACTACTATTCATGTTTCCAAACAATATATTTATTTCTTTATACTACTATCTATGTTTTCAAACAATATATTTATTTCTTTATACTACTATTCATGTTTCCAAATAATATTCGCATTTCTTTATTTCATTAAACTACTATCCATGTTTTCAAATAATATACTCAGTTCTTTATTTCTTTATACTACTATCCATATTTCCAAACAACACTATAATTAATTTTATGTCCAAACAATACAAAATATTAGATCTCATCCTTTTTAATAACTTCTCACAATTCTCTTTCAATTTTTTTAGATAAATTAAAAATTCGAATAATATATAAAACAACGAAAATAAACCTATTTTTACAGATTTAAATGTTACATATAGTTATCCATTGGTTCAACTGGTTAGTCTCGGGTTTTAGTGATTGTTTAAATATGGATATTTTAAAAAATCAAAATTGAATTATCGGATCATATGTTTAACCGCAGTGTGGATTAAATTTAAAATTACTAATTTAAATGCAAAATATTTTCAATACATATATTCTTTCAAATTACCATAGTATTTGTTAGGTTATTTATGAAAATTTTCATCATAAAATATTTTGTTCTTGCAATGTTAAAACCAAAGTTAAATTTGAAGTTCACCTAACCTATAAAATAAAGGTTATGGCCAAATTTTATTTAAAAATTGTATATTAGTTGAATATTTTTGGATAATTATTAACATCATAGGTAACTAAACTCTCAAAACAAAAACAATTAAGTTTGAATTTAATTTTCCATTTCGAATTAACGTACAAAATTAATCTTTTTACTGCATGGTTACATCTACATAGTACACTGTTAGACGCTATTAATACAATGACAATTTTGATATTGTTCTTTAAACATAAAATCGAATTGGACAAACTCAAAACTATATAAAACTAAATTATATAGAATACATCCGAAAAATAAAATATGTGCAGATGTGCGGGTCATGATCTAGTTAATGAATAAAAGGAGAATATCGTCTAATTAAGATAAGAAAATCTTTGATTACAAGGTTTCAACACTAAAGTGTGATAAGATTGTATTCTAATGAGTCAGAAGAGAATATAAGATACGAAATCTTTGGTTACAATGTTTTCAACCCTAAAATGTGATTTCTATATTTAGGGTTGAAGTATTTTTCAAATCCTTTCTATCTCTTTATATATCCGCTCATTTTTCTATAGTCTCTCAATCTATCTACTACTAACCAAAATTCTTCAATTGTCTCCTCAGACAGATCATCTTACGCCAACCCATATCTTCCGGCCTGTGAGTTCCCCTTTGTGTAGTGTTTCATATCGATTAATGTCGATTATTGTGCACAAATGTGAACTCACGGATAGGAAGACGTGGGATGGTGGTCGAATATGAACATATTGTTTTTGTTCGTTCTCCCAACTAACTTCTTAATTGTATATAGCATACTTATCTCTATCCATATATCAAATTCTCAATATATTGTCGCGTATGAATGTTCTGCTCTTATTGACTTGTGATCTTGTTTAGATGCTTCACTAGGTGAAACTCATGTACACAGTCTTAAGCGGGTGAGAAATAAAAGCATTGATATGGGTCGAATCTGCACATGCCCTCCTTATTTGATATTCTGTAGTGGGATCCCATTTATTATTAGTTCCTCGTCAAAAGAGTTAGCAAGTACGTACATATATAAGCTTTGTTCAGTTACCAATATGTATTTTGCTAATAAGAACATGAGTTGTTATAGAGCAGCTCCTGAGGTTTTAAGAATTATAGATAATTTAATAAGAATTTTAGTAAAAAAATGTTATTGACAATCTGCTAACATATTAGCATTATATTTATTTAGATTAACACTTGAAATTTTGAGAGTTTTCAACCAATATTTCATTTGTCACCGAATTTTGTATATGAATTTCCTACGATGTATATTTTATGAAGTTATAACCAATGATAGTGCTTAATCCAACTACTACATCGCAAAGTCAATCTAACATTCAATTTAAACTGAAACTTCAATTGCAAAAGAAACCAGTTGAAACAACAAAAGAACTTAACCGCAAGTTGTTTCTTGGCTGTGGCCATGTTCTTTTGTGCTTTCACTCTCCGGTAAAATTATTGGACAATCTCGACTGTTAAGACCAATAAGATCAATCGTACAAAAAAAAAACTTGTAGGAAAGTAAGCTCAAAGTAATTGATCAAAACTTTGCAGCCAACACAGCTTAGCTGTTTGAAGGAGTAGTGACTGATATTAACCTCGTGCATGTGACTTCCATAGAACAAACAGTTCCTTTCTGCCATTCTTTAAGACTAGCTCAAACATTCGAAGAAGTGGCTGAAAACAATGTATGTTTTAACCTCCAAGCACCAGAATAACGAGTAAATAATAAAAAAAATGGTTAGAAAGACTCCACTTCCAACTAATCACCTTGCTAATCTTATTCTCAAGCACGTAGATCGGATCTTCTGACTGTTCATAATTAAGCCTAGTTGGTTTATTATGAAGAAGATAAAGTAACGTTGATGATCTGAAGGCTACATTGGCACCTTTAGTAGATTGTAAAATCACTTCATGAATCTTTCTTTTTTGTTCATTATCAGAAATAATAGTATAGATTTGACCCACTTAGTTCTCGAAGAAAAAAACTAATTTGATAGTAATTTAGGTGATAAAACAATAATATATTTTCAGATATAGTTGATGATGTGGCAATTATATTAATTCAAGGGGTAAGATTGTTGTTGTATTCTGATGAGTAAGAGGAGAATATCTTCTAATTAAGATAAGAAAATATTTGGTTACAATGTTTCAACCCTATAATGTGATAAGATTATTGCATTCTACTAAGTAAGGTGAGAATATCTTCTAATTAAGATAAGAAAATATTTGGTTACAATGTTTCAACCCTATAATGTGATAAGATTATTGTATTCTACTAAGTAAGATAAGAATATCTTCTAATTAAGATAAGAAAATCTTTGGTACCAATGTTTTCAACCCTGCAATGTGATAAGATTATTGTATTCTACTAAGTAAGGTGAGAATATCTTCTAATTAAGATAAGAAAATCTTTGGTACCAATGTTTTCAACCCTATAATGTGATTTTCTATAGATAGGGTTAAAGTATTTTTCAAAGCCATCTTCTATCTCTTTATATAGTAGCTCAGTTTTCTCTAGTCTCTCAATCTCTACACCTATAATACTTCGATTGTCTACAGATCATCCTACCACATCCCATATCTACCATCTTTCTCTACAGCTTTTGTGTTTCATCATTGTTTTCTTGATAAGATAATGTTTCATCAATTAATGGTTGAAACTTATGCACAAGCTGTAGCGAGGATAGGTAGATGTGGGATGGTGGTAGAATATGCACATATTGTTTTTGTTCGTTCTCCCAACTAAGTTCTTAATTGTATATAGCCTACTTATCTATCCATATATCAAATTGTCAATCGTCTCGTATGAATGCTCTCCTTTCATTGGCTTGTCGTCTTGTGTAGAGAGGCTTCACTAGTTGAAACTCTTGCACACAGTCTCAAGCGGGTGAGAAATAAAAGCATTGATATGGGTCGAATTTTCACATGCTCTCCTTGTTTGATATTCTGTAATAGATCCCTTTAATATTTGTAAGTTCCTTCAAAAGAGTTAACAAGTACGTATACAAGTTTACCAAAAAAAAGTACGTATACAAGCTTTGTTTCATCAAACGTGAATCCATTTTAATTACATATATTGGTTGCCCTGTGATGCAGATAACTATAAAGTTTTAACCGATGATTATGGCTTGGAAGTTTCAAACCTTTTAATCTTAATTAATGCTACAAGTGATTCTCGCTTATTTTTTTATAACACTTAAATCAAAGATCGTACAACACTGGGAACATATAATACATAATGAAAGATAAAGTGGGATGTCAGTAGACCCCGTAAGCAAAATGAATGGTAGCTCATCTAAACTAACCTCTTACTCTTAAGTCTCCAAAGCGAAAAGATGATAAAACCACATCAGAGTATGTAGACCAAGTGCTAAATTTTTTTTTTTTTTTTTTTTTTTTTTTTTTTTTACCCAATCAAACCGGATTAATCACATTTCACAACGACGACCCACACCAAAAAAATCTCAACCTCCAAATCTCAGCAACAGTGGAAGAAGAAAGAGAGAGAAAGAGAAGGATAAGATAATAATGGTAAACGGCAACAGAGCCGAAGCGGATCGTTGGCTGGTAACCTCAGAGAAGCTTCTCGCCTCCAACGACCTCCAAGGCGCCAAAACCTTCGCGATCCGCGCATGCGAATCCGACCCGACCCGCACCGAAGCCGCCGACTACATCCTCGCACCGAAGCACCAAGTGCTAAATTTATGTTTGTTAATGTATATGATATGTTGCAAATCTCTGCTTGTTATTTTTTTTTCTAAATTTTAAGCATATAATTATTTTCAAACTCATCATCACATAGAGAAGAAAATCCTTGGTTACAATATTCAACCCTAAAATCTGATGAAAGTATGCCTGACCACTGGTTAAATTTTTAATAAAATAGTTTCTCGTCCAAATTAAATTCATGCGTACTGTTCATGGACATTCATAGATCTTACGAATTTGATGAACAATGTATTTGAAACAAAATTTAAATAAAACGATCAAAGATATGTACGAGTCTGAATAGCGGCAACGAAATGAAATTAATCACCATTATAGTTATAGCCTTTTGGCTAGGTCCGAAAAGATCATAAACATAAAGTTTAAAATGAATTTTGAAGGACAACGAATAGCTTAGAAATAAAGAGAAGTTGATGAATAGTTCATGATCTATTACACCAACTATATAATATTAAGACAGCGACAAAGGAAAATAACATAAAAACACACACAATAAAAAAAACAGCAATTCAAATTGGATTAGATTACATCAAGTTATTGTTTTCAGATACGCTTCTAATTTGCCTCTTAACTCAGCAAGCTTTTGGTGTTTCTGCTTAATATCTTCCATGCTCAAGCCTTCATTTGGAATATTACACCAACCACTTTGTGATTCTTTGAAGTTCTTTTCCTCCTCCTGCACCATCTCTAGCTCCTCAACGAGATCAGCAAATTGTTTCTTGCGCTCCTCTTCCTTTTGCCTCTTATTAGCGTCCACTAGTGATCCAACATTGGTGTCGTCTTTTCCAGACGGTTCAAGTCCCACAAAGGACCTTACTCGATTAACAACATCTTCCATAGACAGATGTGTAAATTGATGAGCCTTTCCGGCTTGAGTGAAAGCCAAGAAATTCACTTCCTCATCACATTGTGCAATGATGATCTCGGTCATCTTCTTTATAATCTCAGCTTTACGTTTTAAAAACGTAATCATTCTGGCTTTATAGTCTTCAACCGATTTCATCTCGATCTTTTGCTTTCCTTCTGTATGTTTCATTGTCACGTTTTAGGTTTCTGCTAGGTTTTTTAGGTTTGTCTTAATAACCATGGAGGTGCACAGTCTATTTATAGGACTTATTTTTGCGTTCACACCCTAGAGGTTCACCAACCAATATGATAGATATTATTTCATATTTGATATCTTTTAAAAATGAAACAAAATCTTGTTAAATTATATTATGTTTTTAAAATAAAAATAGAAAAAATAAATAAAATAATAATATTTACAAAAACGAAAAAAATATTTTAACATTATATTATGTTTGTAAAATAAAAAGATAAAAATTAATACTAACCAATATATTTTGTTCTCATTTAAAGATATATTAAAATATATTTTTTTAATTTGTTTTCATGCAATTATTACTGTTTTTATTTTATTTTTATCTTTTTATTTTAAAAATAATATAATGTTAAAGATTTTTTTGTTTTTTTGTAAATATTATTATTTTTATTTTAAAAACATAATATAGTTTAATAAGATTTTATTTCTTTTTAAAAAAAATATCAAATATGAAATAACACAATGACTGATTATTTGACAGCTATTATATTTTAAAAAGTCTTGAAGTCATATAATGTTCATAACGTCATTAGTGGAGAACTAGAGTCAACAAACTAAGGGTCTAACTGGTGACCATCATAGAAACATTAGGAATGAATAGGAAAAAAAACGTAGAGGAATAAAATTATACGAATGAAAAGGAAAATTATTCCTTACCAATTTTGGTGAGGAATAAATTTGTTCTATATTCCACTAGAATACAAGGAATGAAAAGGAATAGAAAGGAAAAATTAATCCTTATAAATGGTAAAACAAATTATAAAATGATAAGGAATGCATTTTTCCGTTTCATTCATTGGTCACCAGTTAGACCCTAAGATTGTAAAACTGGTAACTGAATTAGCGTAGATCTCTTTCCATTTTACAAAATTGACATTTTAAGATTTTTAATTAGCGTAGATCTCTTTCCATTTTTCACTACAAATTTATAAACAATATTTTAATTTAAACTTCATTAATTTAATGTATTAATTAGAAAAATGTTGAAACTTATGCAGTAAGTCTTAGGCGAGTGAAAAAGATACCTGAGATGGTGCCATGGTGGTAGAATATGCATGTTGTTTTTGTTCGTTCTCTCTCAACGAAGTTCTTAACTGTATATAGCCACTTATATACCTCTAAATCAATTGTTTATGTTCTGCTTTCATTGGCTTGTGACCTTGTGTAGAGAGGCTTCACTGGTTGAAACACATTCACACCGTCTCAAGCGGGTGAGAACTAGATCATTGATATGGGTCGAATCTGCACATGCTCTCCTTGTTTGATATGATATTATGTAGCGGATCTCTTTAATATTTGCAAGCAATACAAGCTTTGTTCATCAAAGGAGAATTCATTTTACATATATATCTTGTCTTGTGGTGTCTATAACTATGAAGTATTAACCGATGATTATGGCTTGGAAGTTTCAAACCTTTTAATGTTAATAATACTACAATGGTTTTTGGGTTAAAAGTTTTAGAACTCCCAAGCAGCTTAAACATGTACAGCTTCATTCTTATTTCCATTACAGGACAAACAATGTAGGAGTGATTCTTGCTTCTTAGACTTAGCGTACGTAGTACTATATGCTTATGGATGGATCTATATTATGTTGTTGATTGTATATAATGCAAATCTCTGCTTGCTTGTTAATTTGAAGCATACGGTTGTTTTCAAACTCATCATAGTATGAAATTGTAACATCATCACACTATGAAGAGATGCTAGTTGTGCTATGTTTGACGGATTTTCCCTTGTTTAATTTTTAAGTTCTTTTTAGCAAAACGTTTTGCTACTTTTCAAAAAGAAAATATAAGCAATCAGTTGAACTGATGTTTGCTTAATGGAAAATGGATTCACTCATGTTAGAGACTTATTGATTAATGTAAATGAATATTACATTTTAGTGAGACTAATCACTAATCGTCTGCCAAGAAGGTTTACTTTTTTTTTTTTTTTTGAACACAGCCAAGAAGGTTTACTAATCTATACAATAACTGAGTTAACGCTGAAACTAGACTTATAAACATAGTTAAGACCTACAACGATATAGTAGACATGTAACTCACTAACACACAAAAAAAGATCTTGGAAACATTGTGTGTGTATTTACGTCGTAGTCATTATGTTTTCACTATTGTTAGCTCCTCAACTTATAGCAAACTTTGTATCTAATCGTCCGTAAGTCATCTGGGAAAATTTACATACTACTCTCAATTTTTTTTCCACAACTCTGATGTTTGTAATTACTATTTACTAGCAATGAATCATGAATATTACTGTTATAAGAACCAGTGTAACTAGAAAATAACATTTGGTCTGCAAACGAACAAGGATTTTGACTGTTCTCTTTGAAGTATATTTTAAGCTGAAAAACTGTGGCCCAAGCTTTAATTTCTTTGTTTTCATTTGTTGATTCACACCAGCAGGGCCGTCTCGAATTATATTAGAGCCCTGTTCAAAAAAAAAAAAATATATATATATATATGTATATATATATATATATATATATTTATTGATATAATAAAATAATTTTAAAGTTAATATCTTTTTATATACGTATCTACGATTTTTTTTTAAATTATAAACTATAAATTTAAAAGGAGTGTATTTAGATTTGGACCTGTTCGACTGCTCCAGTAGAACGTGGTGCTGTTAGATGGAGACCGCCAGTATCATGAAGTTTACCACACCAATATTTGACTACTATTAGTTTAGACGCAAGTTCATTTGTGTGTGTGTGTATTAACATTGTAATGATTTTCTTTGCACTATTGTTAAGCTACTCCATTTATGGCGAAATCTGTATATACTAACACGCTTTAGTGAAATTATATTGCCTGATTAGTTGTGATGCAGTGATGGTATTTCAGGGTTTGCCTGATTTCTGAAGCCGTGCAATATTGTCTTTCTTAAACGAAGGTGCTTAAATTAACTAATTGTAAAATTTTATTTTCAGTGTTTAATATTTTTAAATTAAAATTAGCATCAATGTGCTTAATTTTTTTTACAAAAATTTTAAGTATATATCTAACAATAATTTGAATCATGGTATAAGTCTTAAGATATCATGATTCCTGTTAAATTTTTGATGACTCAAATGAATACTCTATTTACAGAAACCATGAGCATATGCCAAAAATAGGTGAAAACCTTTTTTTGTTAAAACTTTGAAATATTATAAGTTTGTTGGAGCATCATTAATTAAGAGCAATAACTACTTTTCGTTTTTTTCTTAAAACACCTTTTTTTAACCTGCTTACTTTTTGTTTGTTTTTTCCTGTAATGAAGAGATTGTTATATGTTCTGATATGAAGTACATTTGTCAGTGAGTAACATATATAAAATATTCAGATTGTTATATTTTCATATTCCTAATCATGTGTAGAAGCATTCACCGGACATGAACCGGACGGTGGCTTATATGAGAGTCGCCTACAAATACGGCAACAAACAGGTAAACTCAATCTTTTCAAGAAATAGTTTAATGATCAGAAGTTTCTCAGCGGAATCACCTTTGCATCGAGGATGAGAAGGTGTACACCTATAAGGGTTCCTCTGCGCTTCATATTTCTCGCCTGCCAAAACCTAATCAGTAGATCACGGACATATTTCAGATTAGCGAGGAGGAGAGCAAAGTTAGCCATTCTTTTCTCTGGAAATTTAAAAATCTAACGATTGAGAGGATTAAACTGATGAATTTCACTGGATGAGAGTTACATATTTATACTCGAAGATGCACATAATGAAAGTAAAGGATATGTTATTTAATGAAAATCGTGTGAAGAGTGGGGTGTTGTTGTTAATGAGGGTGTTCTTGAGCCTTGGTTTTGAACAGAATGAGCTTATTATACTCTCGTATTGAATTAAACAAACTAACTAACTGGAAACAGTCTATATATATAAACCTGTTGATGGTAGTCTTTGTTGGTGTTGTTATGATAATATGCTTTTAAAATCATCTATTATAAATTTATAAAAGCATATATCTAAATGATTCTTATCTAAAAGAAGCAAAGAATTAAACATAGAGTTTTAAATCTTACATCTCATATTATTCATCCAATGCATATATGTATATTAAAGAACCGAAAAGGTTATCACATCTTACAAAAAAATGTTAGTAATTGGCAATTCACTTGTATAGACGTCATGATTTTATTAATTGACGTTATACGGGGGAAACAGAGTATTGCTCCAAAATGCAATGCAAATTCAAGATCCACAACCGGCGACAAAGCCGAAACATCCAAGTCTCTGATCACTTCTGAAATCATTCCCTTGCCTTTAGAGGTGTCGACTCCTTCAAGCATCTTCATGACTTTCTCCAACTCAGGTCACAGCTTTTCGAGTACCCCTGTATTCCTTTATTATGCTTAAGCCAAATATACAAAAATACGAATGATTTTTGATTATCATGAACTGGTAGACACAAAGCTAAGACCCAAATGAAATTTGTTTGTAAACCAACTGATTTTTCAGTTTTAAAATCAAGTGAAATTTGTTTTAGATTTTGCTAAAATAGATCTTAGCAAACAACAGAACACAACTGAATCAAATAGTCATATTATATAAAGAAGAAGAAGATAAATGCGTACCTCTTTTCATTTATCAGGAGTAAGTCAAACCCCATGAGTTCTCCACTTTTCTTGACGTTCTGCCTCCCAAAAAACGCAGAACCAGCATCAAAACCGTCTTAGAAGCACACCCAATATTAGGATGGAAAGCAGGATTGAAGAGGTGACCATCTTTAAAATCTCAAGTGGTAAAGGAGTTGTATAAATTATACGGTGAATGTCGCAGAAAAGTATTAACTACAAAGTAACTCAAGGTAAACCTATATTCTAAAGTCAATAATCGCTTAAAATTACTGATGTTCATATAACTACAGATGCTACAATAAAAAGACGATCGAATCAGCATCAAAGATTTTGTAGAAAATGTACCTTCAAGTTCAACTTTATTTCAAACTAAGCCAACCTTATTCTAACTCTAAAAATCCAAAACTAAAATCGAACACAAACCAACTGAATACGAAGAAATACGTTTCAGTTTTTCTATTAAACAAACAAAGCTAAAAATAATTAAACCCGATAAGATCTGAAGATAACCAAACCATAAGCTAGATTAATCACCCCTATTGATTTTCTTTTTTCAAAATGCCAGAAATACGGATGTATATTAACCTGAAGCGTTAAGCTCATGCAAAGAGGAATCACTTACCCTGAAGTTCTGGGAACAGCGACAAACATCAAAGACGGAGAGGGAGTACATAGAACCGGCGGCGAGTTTTGGCCAGTAAACTGGCACACGGTTGGCATTGATGCTAGCTTGCATAATTGTGGACTGCAATAGAAACATAAAACACAACGGACAATGAGATGGCGGTGTGTCGGAAGGATTTATCTAATCGGTTTCTGATTTTTTTTAAAAAAAAATACAGATCTAAAGCACAACGGACAATGAGAAGGCAATGTGTCGGAATAAGTTATCTCATCGGTTTCTCGAATTTTTTTTTTTTTTTTAAAACAAAACGGAGATTGAGAAGACAGTGTGTGTGAAAAATATTTTTCATAGGTTTCTGGAATTAAAAAAAAAAAGATTTCTCACATTTACATCGATCAAAAGCATGTTGACGCACATGAGTTCCCGTCGATCAAGATTCCTTCCCTCCCAGAACCGGAACAATCGCACCTTAACGGCGGAGGAGCAACGGCCAGCCTTCAGGTCGGATAAAAAACTGTCGATAAAGCCATCAGAATAATATTTAAGATGGTGAGAGGTTTGTGAATGAATCTGAGAGGATAGAAACGAAAGTATATATACACTTTCTTCCACCGTCTTACAGGAGTTAAGAAGATATGAATTATAGATCATGGGGGAGTAGTAAATGCGATTATCAATGCTTGATGGAGATTCATCTCTAAAGGGAAAAAGGAATCGTCACACAGAAATCAATTGCAGAGTTTGATGGCGGCTACCATCTTTTTTGACGAAGAACCCTATTTTTCTCGGGAAGAAAGTGACGACTCCATCAATGATACAGGCCACCGAAGAAAATAACATTGGCCCATTAACACATAAACAAAGAAAGCCCATGTTGCGTCCAACAAATCATACGCACCGTTTAACTATTGTACACATGTCCAGGCAGGAGGGATGAAAGTCTATCTTAAAGACAATATTGCATGTACACACACAAGATGTTTATGAGAATAAATTAACCAATTTTTTTTTTTGAATATTTAGGAGGAAAATAAATCTGTGAAGAGTTTGAACAACAATAACGCCGAATACAGTGATCAAAACACATTTTCAATCTACCAATCGAAACAAAATGAAACACATAGGGATGAATAAACCCAGCCCATAAAGGGAAGCTTCCAGCTGAGACCAGAGAGTAGTACTCAGAGCCTCCTTCCCCTTCTTCCACCCTTTCTGCGGGTACTGTCTGTTGGGACTGGAGTCACATCCTCTGCGTTTAAAAAACAAGAACACTGTTAAGAGATTTGTTCAATCAAATCAAAACATTCTAGATGGAAGATTTGCAAAAAAAAAGATTACCAATGCGACCAATTTTCATGCCAGAACGGGCAAGGGCTCTGAGAGCAGACTGAGCACCAGGACCAGGGGTTTTGGTCTTGTTACCACCAGTGGCACGGAGCTTCACATGCATCGCAGTGATTCCAAGTTCCTATAAAGCACAAACAAAACCGATTACGCTTTTCAGAAATTTCCAATCTAAGTAATGCATATATTTTCCTGGGCTATTTAATTAATACCTTGCAACGCTGAGCGACATCTTGAGCAGCAAGCATAGCAGCATAAGGTGATGACTCATCTCTGTCGGCTTTCACCTTCATCCCACCTACACAAGTTAATCCAGAAGCCACACGTTCATTCAATAACAGCACAACTTTCCATAAGGTTTAAACCATTCAAAAGCTAGAAGACTAAGAGAGACTTCATAATCACAAAGTACTGCATCCAAACCTAATCAAGTTAACCGCATATACAACATCAAATAAAGCAAATTCTAGTGAAGTGATATCGAGGAATTAATCAAATATCGCAAGAATGACGAGACTAAATACAATTCAAGGACCATGTTACAAGGAAACAACAGAATCTAAGTATCAAAAAGAAGAGTTGCAAAAGATTGGTTACCAGTGATACGAACAAGTGTTTCCCGTCCAGACAAATCAGTCACATGCTGCCAAAATGAAACTTGCAAAATTATACTAAGATCAAGAAAAAAAATGAATGAAGAAGAAGTAGAAGGAGCTCGGTGACTGACAATGAAAGTGTCGTTGAATGAGGCAAAGATGTGGACAACACCAAAGACTTGCTCTCCATCACGAACAGCAGGTCCAAGTGTCACTGTCTCCTCCTTTGGCTCTCTTGTCTTTCTCCTCGACTACAACAGAGTTTCACACAAACATATTTTGTCAGAATTGATACTTTCGATTTCTAAATTGCAAATTCCAATCTCCAGAAAAAGAACACATATGAACGAAGTCAGAAGAACAGGGATTGCATCATAAACATTTTTCACATTTTCAAACAGTGCCAGAGACGGATTTAGAGTTATAAGCACTACTAAACTTCCAAATAACAATAAACAACCTATAACAAAGTAACTTCTTTCAATCACTAAATCAAAGTGTTTCGAACGAAGCTTACCATGATTTCAAACGAAGGGCGAAGGGAATCTAGGGTTTCGTTTTGTGTTTCGACCTTCAGCTAGAGAAAGCGACGATGACGACGACGAAGAAACCGGAATTGGCTTTAATAGTCTGAATCTCCACGTTAGGGTTAAGAGTCGTGGTTTCTATAGCCCGACAAAATAACGTAGGCCCAATAGATTGAGGCCTAATAAGTAATGGCCCATTAAGATGAGCAAAGACGATTTTTGTTTTCCACGCCGGATTGGAAAAAGCTGGCGCTCCTTTTGAGCTATCATCTCGTAAGTTAAACTTTGAACAATGGTAGATGTGAATAGACTTAACACTAGAGAGCTTCCATGTTATAGTAGAGAACTAGAGGATTGAACTTGGTAATGGCTTGTGAAGGGGCCATATTTGAAAAAATCTAATAGGTCAAATAGACTTTGGGACATATCGATTTAAGTCATGAGCACTTGGCAAAATATTTTCTAAACTATATTATACATCTGACAATGATCCCAAACGCTGTTATACCAATCACAACATGTAACCAAAGCACGTCTTTAATCGAGAGACATCGGATACAATGCATAGATAGCAAACAAGTGCACAGAATAGCATTATCAAAAATCAGAGAAAAGACAACGAGAAACAAAGATGATAAGATTTAAATGTTGGCAAAATCTGTAGAAGTGATAGATTATAAAACATGAAAAGGAAAAAAAAAGGTTTTGGTTGTTTTATTTTTAGTTGCCACTGGGGCAAGATAAAACTTTTACATCTAGAAAAGGGTCCAGCAAGCACAAAGCGGCCACAATGTAAATAGTTTTGCTAAATTCGCTATTTCTTTCTGCATATAAATACAGAAGAGAGTAGAGGAGAGGTAACTCAATCAAAGACTTATGCAATTTTCGTAGAGGATCTACTTCTGTATGGACAAGAAGTTGGAACTCACAATCTCTAGGAGTCCCTTGGGATTGTCTGTGTGGACCCAATGGCCAGAGTTACGCAGAACATGAGTCGACACCTTCCCTTCTGAGACATTCTGTCTCTCGTTAGCAATTCTTTCAAGCCGCGTGGTTGTATCTTTGTCCCATCTGTCACTCTTCTCTGCAATCACAAAAGAAATCTCCGTCTCTTTTGGTGGATTCTCTAGCAAAGACCAATACGAAGTCTCCCTGCGACAAGTCATTAAAAGGAAGGTCATTATAGAAGTAGAATCATTGATTTGGTTCTTATGACGAGAGAAAGAAACCTATAAGACTTGAACATCTGAATAGCTCCGTCGAGGTTAAAGGCCCATGTCTCAGAGTCTCCAGATCTCTTGAGGTTGCTTCCAATCCACTCAGATAACGATCTTGAAAACCCAAGCTCCACCATATGATCCACAAGCCACCTAGAATCACAAAACTATTGTATTTGAGTGGTATGACGTTAAATTTATACACACTGCATATCAAATGAGCCTCACTGATAAGTGTAACCTAATAACCTACAAGCGATCATACAAACGTAATAGACATTCCCACTAATACATATCAAACCTGAAAAAAAAAATGTCAAAGTAAATATAACATTCATAAGCTAGAAGGGATCATACAAACTTAGTATTCATTCCCACATATCTATAAGCATATGCACCCAGAGCAAAAGCTAAACCAGAGAGATGATAAACACCACGTAAGTACACTAATGCTCAACCCGAGAGTTCATATCAAAAATGCTTATAAACATTAACCGTAAATGGAACTACTAAGCTTAAAATCAAAGCACTCAAGATGAAAAGGATGAGACTTTACTTGCGTGAAGGAATTGGAGAAGGCAAACTCTGCAACGTCATCAGAACTTTCTCAACTTCACCATCACTTTGTTCATCCTTAACTTCCCCAGGAACAGAGTCTAACACCCAAAGCTGTTCTGCATCAAAGATACAAACACCATTACTAAACAAACTTTGCTATGGCCATCACACCAAATGAATCAACACAACACTTCCTTATCATACTCCTCACGAGAAAGGCACAAAGTTGCCATCTTTAACATCTCAACAGTGACCTCATTAGAATTGAGCAAGCAAGATACTCTTTGATCCAACTTTGATCATTTCCTTATCAAGAGAAAAGGAACTTAATCTCAACAGTAAACCTTATTAGAACTCAAAAAAAGAAGTGTTTCCTCTTTTGAATTGCAATACCTGTTTAGGAGGAGAAGCAGAGAGACCAAAATCACCACGAGCACAACTCTCCATAAACTGCAACGCGACTTTCCCTCCTAGAGAATGACCAATCACCACATCAGGCCACCTCCACCCGTTCGCCTTCACCAACTCAGCTAAATCTTTCGCCGAGTTGACAAGATCATGCGGCGGGTTAAGACCTTCCACTTCCGTGGATCTCCCGTGATTCCTCAGATCCACAAGCATCATCTTCCAATCTTAACACACGCAAAAAAAAAACAAGATTCAAGAAATCGATAAGGAGAAATGTAAAGAGAGAGAGAGTGGTGTGTGTGTATACCAGAGGGAGATGAGACGGAGAGAGACGATGCGAGGGAGCGGGAGAACGATCGCCAGTTGCGGCCCGAGCCGAGGAGGCCGTGGAGGATGAGAGCTGTGGATGATTCGTGTTTCTTGTTGTCGGAGGAGGATTTGACTTCTTCGTAGGCTAGGGTTTGTAGAGATCTGGAGTTAGTGGATGGAGATGGAGATTGGAGGAGACGAAGAAGAGAGCGAGATTTGGAACGGTTCGTGAGAGTTCTTGTCGCCATCAGAACACACATTTGTCTTGTCTCCGGCGACGTGTGGCTAATATCGTGAGAGAGGGGGGAACAAAAGTTAAAAATGAAAAAGATTGTGACAGCTGTGGGATTTGAACCCACGCCCTTTCGGACCAGAGCCTAAATCTGGCGCCTTAGACCACTCGGCCAAACTGTCTTGTTGTTTATATCTCCTTACGCGTTAAACTTAGTATTTTACACAGATTGGGTGTTCGTGTTGGTATACAGTAACGATTCAACCTTCTGAAATTATTGAATGTAACTAGAGAAGCAAGTATGTTTACGTTTGTGTATTTTTCATGATACTAATATAGTGTACCATTTTTAAAGGCTTTTGTTACGTTTGTGTATTTTTCATGAAGCTAATATAGTGTACCCTTTTTAAAAAAGGCTTTTAATTGAAAATGCATGTGTGGAATTACACGATTTGAAGAAACTTTTATTCAGATTGGGTGTTCGTTGGTATATATTTTTATTTACATTTTTGCTATTCAACTTTGAAAAATGTTGTATGTAACTAAGATATCGATTGTTCTTGTTTCATGTGATGATAATATATCATAGTGTACCCTTTTAATAAAAGAATAGATGGTTATGTGTTGATTCGTTAGTATCCATATATCTGTTAAATGTATATAATATGCCCAAACACAAACGAAGAAGAGTTTGTGTTACATTTTATAAGAAATATTATAGAACGTAGTACCATCGTACTACGTACTTTTTTGAAGTATGATTTCTATATATAATATTTCTTACAAACGATGGTACTACGTACGTTTCTGAAGTATGATTTTTATTTTATTTGTTTACATGTTAGAAGCAAACGCAGATATATTGCACTTGAAATGATCAAGTTACGGTTGGAAAAAAAAAGAAATGATCAAGTTACTTGTATCAATTAGTGAAAAAAGTCTCTTGTATCAACCATCATGGGCCATTTTGGAAAATACTATATCAAACTAGTGTAAGGTAATGGAGATCATAACTTCAAAGTCAAACAATACACCTTCTCTTCAAAATTGTTCAACTACAATAATATGGATTCTCACAACTACGTGAATATTATCTAACAAATATTGACTGAAAAACAATTGACAAATTGAACCATTTAAATACCTAAGTTTATGGCATACTCTTCCATAGTCCAACCCAACCAAGTTGCAAACTGTTAATAGTTTGGCTTATCATAGTGGACGTCGCATATCCATCCGTTTATGTATATGTCATAGCAAAGAAAAACATTACATTTTCAAAAGTCTAAAAAAATTGTTCAGTGAAAGGAACAATGGATCAAGTTGACAAAGAAGAGGTGATCTAGGATAAGCAATGGCTTAGCTTTAATTGAAAACGGATAATGCAGCATATTTAAAAAAAACAAAAAAACAAATTCCGTATAAAGTGGAATAAAAAGTCCAAAGGGAACGTTTTGGAGAGAGATATATAAGGAATCACCAAACCATAACAAGACAACTGTAGAAATCCTTCCTCTTGCGGAGTCAATGGAAGCAATCTGTATGTTTTGATGTCTTATTTGGCTAAACAAAAGTGTTTTCATTCCAACCTTCACGTTGTTTATTAAAGCTCATTCATGTAAAAACGCTTCGAACTTGAACCGACTAATCTTGAAATGAACATTACTATTTGTTTCTATAACCACATATAAAATCAGAGACGTATATATATATATAAAACACTAGAAGTTTCATATTTTATGTAGTAATATATATTGATGAGAATAAAATGTAGTAATATACATTGCACGAAGTATATACAACTTTTCAAGTTAAAAAAAAAAAGTATATACAACTTTTTGATTTTATACTCAAGCGTGGCCTGTTTCACTTTTGAAGATCAACCTCAATCTTTTTTAGTAGCTTCGTTGTTAACTTGCTCACTATATATAAGTATAACTGAATAACTTAAACACTAGATTTTGAACCCGCACATCCGTGCGGGTATTTTTTCATTTTATAAAAATATAACAAAACATTTCAAATATATATAATTTATATTTTATTTTTATATATTGTATAATTGTATAATCTTATCATTTTTAATTATTTTTATATAATATATTGTTGTAAGTTTTAAAATGAAAAAATATTCATAAATAATTTTTTATATAATGTATTTGTTGTGAGTTACAAAAATATATGTTAACATTTTTGTATATAATATATATAACTTAAAAACTTTAATATGTTTTAAAGGGAGTGATATTTATTTATTTATTTGAATAAATTAATTTTTTTTAAAAATAAAATATTTTTTTTACCAATTTAATATATTTTATATTCATTTCAAATAGAATTTTATTTTAATATAATACAGAATATAACTAAATTATAAAATATAACAATTTTTATTTTTAATTAACATTAATATAAATATTTATATATATTAATCACGAAATTAAATAATGCATATATTATAAAAATATTTAAACTTCTTA